AGATTATTAATTAAGATAAGAAACAAAATAGGACCAAGGATAGAAAATCGAGGCACCCCAGAAGATACTGGAAATAAAGAAGAGTGTTGGCCTTCAAGGATGACTTTAATAAAGCGGTTTGAAAGATCCGGTTTTATAATCTCAAAAACTTTCCCAGACACAACATATAAAACAATCTTTTAGTGAAGAACAACATGTCAAACTGTCAAAACCCTTAAATATGTCAAGAGTAATAGTCCTAGCCTCTCCGCCTCCACCTAATGCGCGATAAAATCTTTCAGTCACAACAGTAAGCAAGTCAGCCGTAGATGCAAGTCAGCCGATTGAAAACATTATTGATTATCTGACAGTAAGTTATTTGACTCAAGATGGGATGTGAGAAATTTGTTGATCAAAGACCTAATAAGAGAAAAAAGACTGATCGGACGATATTTTGAAGGATCAGAATGTTCACCTGAGTTTTTGAAAATTAAAACAACTAAAGCCATTTTTCAGCAGGCAGGAAAACTCGACCCAGTCATGGACTTTTTAAATATTTTAGAGAGAATTAAAGAAAGTTCTGAAGAATAATTTTTTAACAACACTAGTTAAATACGCAATCTTATTTAATCACATAAGCGCATTATTAACTTAAGGGTCATTAGGCCGGGTGAATAAAAAAAAGCAATTGCTTTTACTCAGCGCTTTGGGAGTAATTGCTCAGCTTTACGTGAATAAAAATTTGATCAAAATCGCTCAAATTTTTATCCACGTAAAGTTAAGCATTTTTCTCCGAGTAGTAGTAGCTCAGCTTTACGTGAATAAAAATTTGATCAAAATCGCTCAAATTTTTATCCACGTAAAGTTAAGCATTTTTCTCCGAGTAGTAGTAGCTCAGCTTTACGTGAATAAAAATTTGAGCAATATTGCTAAAGTTTTTGTCCGTGTAAAGCTATCCTATAACCGAGTAAAAGCAATTGCTTTTTTTTTTAAGGTAGACTGCTAAAAAAATTATTTTTGTATTTTACAATATTTCAATAAATTTTTTTACTTCGAACATGATAAATACATTAATTCATAATTTTTTTTTTTTTTTTTTTTTTTTTTTTTTCATATATATATTGGGCAAAAACAGGTGATTTTAGGCCAAAAACAGGCTAAAATCTTGGCAAAGATATCTCAAAAAGTATAATTTATTAAGTTCTAATTTTTTGTATTTTTATTTGTTTTATGTAGATAAATGTCATGAAATAAAAATTTTTGTTGAAAATTTCTTTATTTTAAAGCATCGTTAGATTTTTCAATGCGCCCAATTAATAATCGAATTTCTGATATTAAGAACAAAAAGTTTGTTGTTTTAAAAGTTTATATTCTAAATTTTTTTTATCTCAGGACATAAAGCTTATTATAATGAAACTCTGTACAAAATTTTAAGTCAATTGGACAATTACAGCTCCTGCAATCTTTGCCAGAAAATTAGAAGAATATATTAGAGAAAAAAGCATATAAAATTAAAAATATTGAATTTACAAACTTATTAAAATCCCCCTTTTTTATATACTGCTCTTCTTAATTTTTGTATTTTTATCAAACCCTTTCTTAGTCGCTTTAAGATTTTTTCTTTGTTTTTTAATTTTTTTTTTTATTACTAACCTTAACCAGCGGTTGCTATGAGCGTTGCTAGGGGAAACAAAATTACCCTACTAATATAAATCACTTTTATTAGTTCTAAATTTTTTTTCTCATACGAAGTTCTATATATTTTTAGACTCTACATCAGTTACTGTTTAAAACAATGCCACTTTTGAAAAATTGTTTTTTTCTAACTTTTTTAGCAGTCTACCACCCGAATTCGGCCTTTTATCGTGACATATGAGCTTAACATTTCTACCGCCCTCTCTTTCTCTTAAATTATTTTTAATATATAAAGAATCACTCGTTTCTTTTACTTTTTAGTTAGTTACTTTTTTTCCACGATGGCAATGGCGGTCTTTATCTTCTTATCAATAACTTTTTCATGAAAGTAGAGGCTTGTTATTTTTTCTTCAACATCTTTTATTAATGTTTTAACAATGTTTGCATTCTCATTGGATAAATTTTTTCACCTTTTCTAAATACTCGTTTTTTATTTTATTTATTTTTTTTTTTTTTTTACTATTCACCACGCTGTAAAAAAACGTGTCTGTTCATGAAAAAAGCCACAACGATGAATACAAATCTATTTCTTATATGTTGTTTTTTTTTGTATTTTTTTTTACTGAACTCATGTTTCCAAGGCCGACTTTCCAAGAGAGAGAGAGAGAGAGAGAGAGAGAGTGAGAGAGAGAGAGAGAGAAAGAGAGAGAGAGATTATAACCGTCTCTCAACTCTTTAAGGGGGTGGTACAGTAATTAAAATTGAAAAAATCATTTTTTCAAAAATTCATTTTTATATCAATAAATTCATAGTAGATTCCAAATTTTTTATTAGATTGCAAAAAAAAACTTCAGTATCTACATCTAATCTTTGTTTAAAATGATTCAGTATCATTTTTTATCCATAACAAAAATTAACCATACCACAAAATGCAATAAAAACACCTTTACTCTGACTGTATAAAACAAAGCATTGTTATTCACGTATTGCTTGTTTATTGACTTGATTAATGTGCGTTCAATGCACTCAACACAATAGTATTACTTTATGTTCTTGTCAAGGTTATTTGTGACTCTATACATTAGTTGTTTTTTATATTTGATTGAAATAAAAGTGCTGTGGATGGATCAAAAAGAAAAATATCTTTAAAAAAGATTTACCAAATGTAAAATCAGAGTTTCATGAAAACAGTAATAAAAGGGTTTAGCTTTTTAAAGAAACCACTGCTACAATTTCAGACTGTAGTTCAATTGAAAATATTCCAAGCTCATCCTCCTTCAATAAGTTATCAAACAAAGAAGTTGTACCGGATTTTTTTAAACATAAATAAAGATTTTAACTTTATTATGAGATTTATTTTACCATAAAACATAGTTATGCTTCTTAAATGTCTAGAATGTGAAGATTTTGTAAATTTAAAACTTGATTCTTCTTTTTGCATTTAAAAAAGTAAGCCTTGGTAATAGACTATAAACTTTTTGAAACTCTATTTAATGAGAAACTTATTATTTTATTATTTCCTACTATTGCTAAAAAGAACTCTAATGCAAAACAAAATGATCTAGTTAAACGTGTGTTTGACCACTTGACATATACCCTAATGTTTTAGCATTTTGTGAATTAGATAAAAAATTGCCATCAGTTTTGTTTCGCACCAAAGGTTCAATGTACAAATTCCAATCTAAAAAGTTGGCTGAAAAATTAAAATAAATTTGAGTTTTTTTTTTTCTAGCTGTTGTTTACACTATCAAACCAATACTTATAGTCCTTTCTTCTGAAAGATTTTTTTTTAATTTGTTACCTTAAATTACCCCACTTTTGCCCAAATTTACAAAAATATTAATATTTTATCGAGTTTTGGACCTAACTTAAATACTTAAGTCCACGACACAATGACATATATAATATATCACCAGCCAAAATTTCACAAATCATAAATTATGAACGGTTGCTGAAAATTCTTTTTTGCCCTTCACCCCATTTTTTGACCTTTAATGATTAATAAATAAAAATAAAAATAAAATTTCAATTTTTTTTTCGTTTTTTTAGCTTTCTTATAGAATATTTACAATTTGAGAAAAAAAAAACATTTGCAAAAACTTAAATACAATTTTTTTTCTAATTACTGTACTACCACCTTAACTTCGAAATACGAAGCATGGCGAACAAGTCCGCTGCGCGGAAAAACAGATTAACATACATGAAACATAAAAGATATTTTAAAACTGTTTTTCTTTTTAATTGAAAAAATATAAGAACTTTCAATTTTAACTGAAATTTACTAAGTTTAATTGAAAGCCAAAAATCTATTTCAAGTTTGGTAAGTCGACTTCGCCTTTCAGTAAACTTCGTAATCCGAATTTTAATGAATATTCCCCGGTCTTTAGTTTTAACACAATAAATAAAAGATTTTATAAAACAGCAAATCAATGCTATAAACCCAGTGGGCATTTCGACGTCGAACGAACGTCGAGCGACGTCGGATCTCGACGTCGGATCGACGTTGGGTTTACGTTGGAAATGGAAATGTTATTTGACGTCGGATAAACTGACATCGCGCGACGTCGGCATTCCGATGTAAATCCAACGTGTTTTTTGAAAACTAAAAAACGCTGCCTTTGACAGGAATCGAACCTCGGTCTAATAGTTTCTACATCCTATGCGCTTACCACTACACCACAAGGACATATTAATTGTTGAGTTTATTTAGTAATTTATACTTGTAGCTATTTGGGAATTATTACTTTGATAAGAAATAATTTTGTTTAAATATTATATAAATATTAAAACGAATAGTTATATATTATAAAAAATGTATACTCGAAAATGTTAATAGTTAAAAAACTATGCTAGTGCATCATACAAAACCTCATGATGTTTTATCAACCATTATTCAAACTTCTTTCCATTAATAAAAAACACGCTTAGTTCACATATTTATTGAAGAGCGCAATTGCACACATATTGTTGGGTTTGGATTAAATTTTCATCAGCGATGTCTTACGACGTTGTTCCGACGTCGTTTTAAGGACATTGGATTGACGTCGGAAGACGTCAAAAGACATCGGAGTACGTTAATATTATGACGTTGCCCGACGTCTTTTTATCGACGTTGGATCGATGTCAGTACTGCGACGTTTTTTGGACGTCTTTTATAAGATGTCGGAACAACGTCAAAATACATCGAAACGACGTCAGGGGATGTTGAGATAAAGACATCGCCCGACGTCATTTTACTAACATCGGAACAACGTCGGAATAGGTCTTTTGACATCGCTGATGAAAATCAAACGTAAATCCGACGTCGGATTGACGTCGGGTGCCCACTGGGAATTAAAATTAATGAAATATTGGCGCTATGCAATTTCAAAATAAAAGTAAAACTGTAAAACTTGATATATGTTTTAACATGTTAAAACTTGAAATTTACACTAGTTAGATATTTGCATACGCTTTCGTTCATATTTTCATATACAAAAAGTGCAGTGACTCTTTTTCGCCAATAACTCGAGTGTGATGACTGCCGTGAATTCTGTGCCAACCCGCACGAATGAGTAATGGCGGCAGCAGCAGAAGCAGCAGCATTAAATTTGATATTAAAATATTATAGTATAGAATAAAATAGATTATTTTAAATAATATGTCAACTAAATAATAAACCTGTATAAATATACAATCTGTTGCTAAATGAATTAAATTATCCTACAAAAGAAAATTTGAATCAATCATCAAAAAAAAGAGTAGGATATGTTTATGTTTGTTAACAAAATAACTTCGTGCAAGTTTAGAACGCGTTTGAACGATTTAAAAAACAAAATTTTGTTAGTTTTCGAACTTTTTTTTTTTGAAAAGAGGAGGGGGGACGGGGACGGTAAGAGTGCTATTTAAAATTTGTAAGAAAAATAAATTTTAACTTATTAATTTTTATTTAATTTAATAATTTTATAAGGTTTTCATTGATTTTTATGAAATAAAGTAAATTTTGTATTTATTATGTTATTTGCTTACATGCTTTCCGAGGTAAATGCGATACATTCTATCCGAGGAGACAAAAATATGCATAGGCGGATTAAGACTTTTTGGGGCCCAGGGCTATTTTTGTTTTTAGAGGCCTTTTAATGGGCCACAGCCTAAAAATGACATTAAATAAATAAAAAAAAAAGGTCCTCTAAAATTTTTGGGAGCCCCTAAATTTGCGTGGCCCAGAGCTATACTCCACCCTAGCCCCCCTTTGATCCGGCACTGAAAATATGGTAGGAACATTTATCACGCGACATCGGCACTGTTTGTAATATTAATAGCAAGTTGTTAGCCGACCTCCTATCGGGAAACCGGACTTAAAATAAAAAATAAATTTGACCCACAAATAAATAACAATGAAACATACACTTCTATGGCATTTTTTTTTTCAGATTTTTTTTTTTATAATCATTGTTTTTTATAAAATGCTTTTAATCATGATTTAATCAAATGCTAGTGAGTTAGTTGCTTTAAAAAAAATTTTGAATCAAAATTCACATGATTATTATTGTTATACATCTTTCAAATTGAATATTATATTTGATAACATAATACAGATAATCATAATAACTCTTTTATTATCACTTGATATAACAGTTAACTCGTCTATAGTTTGAAACATTGAGTAAAAAAGAAATAATAAAACAAAATAAGTAACTTACTTCCAACTAGTTCTTTCTCAAATCATGAGTGTCTTGAGGAACTCCTAAACAAACATTTTTAATATAAATTAATCAGTTAAAAGTAAAAAATAGTTCTTAATAGAAAACTGTTTTTATTAGTCAAACAAACAATAAATTAAAAATTTATTATTTGTTTATATATTTATGTTTATATATAAATTAAATATTATATATATATCTGTCTATCTATCTATCTATCTATCTATTTATCTATCTATCTATCTATATATATATATATATACAAGAAAAAAAAAATTTAAAACCCACCCTAATTTATATATATATATATATATATATATATATATATATATATATATATATATATATATATATATATATATATATATATATATATATATATATATATATATATATATATATATATGTATATATATATATATATATATATATAAATTAGGGTGGGTTTTAAATTTTTTTTTTCTTGTTACAGGCTCTAAACATAATAATAGTTATTAATATTGATACTATCAAACATGAGAATGATTGTGATAGATTTAAAGGGCGCAACTTTATTGGGAAAATTACCGGTACCCTAATATTTTGGAGAAAAAATTTTTTTTAAAAGTAGGTTAACATGGTACTCAAAAGAAGCGTAAATTTATTAAAAAATTCGAAAATAATAATCGTTTTATTAAAATCATATTCCTAAAAAAATTGTTATTGAAAATCATGTAAAAATAATTTTTATATGAAAAAATTTATATTTTTGAAATTTTTATAAAATTTCACTTTATTTGAGTACCTACATTACATAATTTTGAAAAACTTTTTTTTTGAATTATAATATGGCCTGCTAGTTTTTGTAATTATAGTTGCGGTTGGGAGACATTGTTCAATCCATAAAAGTAAATAGTTTCCTAAATTAGAACATAAAAAAACAACTTTCTAGACCATAGCCAGGTTAGCAACTCTAAAAAAAATTTTTATGACCCACCCTAACATATATATATATATATATATATATATATATATATATATATATATATATATATATATATATATATATATATATAATATATATATATATATATATATATATATATATATATATATATATATATATATATATGTATATATATATATATATATATAAATTAGGGTGGGTTTTAAATTTTTTTTTTCTTGTTACAGGCTCTAAACATAATAATAGTTATTAATATTGATACTATCAAACATGAGAATGATTGTGATAGATTTAAAGGGCGCAACTTTATTGGGAAAATTACCGGTACCCTAATATTTTGGAGAAAAAATTTTTTTTAAAAGTAGGTTAACATGGTACTCAAAAGAAGCGTAAATTTATTAAAAAATTCGAAAATAATAATCGTTTTATTAAAATCATATTCCTAAAAAAATTGTTATTGAAAATCATGTAAAAATAATTTTTATATGAAAAAATTTATATTTTTGAAATTTTTATAAAATTTCACTTTATTTGAGTACCTACATTACATAATTTTGAAAAACTTTTTTTTTGAATTATAATATGGCCTGCTAGTTTTTGTAATTATAGTTGCGGTTGGGAGACATTGTTCAATCCATAAAAGTAAATAGTTTCCTAAATTAGAACATAAAAAAACAACTTTCTAGACCATAGCCAGGTTAGCAACTCTAAAAAAAATTTTTATGACCCACCCTAACATATATATATATATATATATATATATATATATATATATATATATATATATATATATATATATATATATATATATATATATATATATATATATATATATATATATATATATATATATATATATATATATATATATATACATATATATATATATATATATATATATATATATATATATATATATATATATATATATATATATATATATATATATATATATATATATATATATATATATATATATATATATATATATATATATATATATATATATATATATATATATATATATATATATATATATATATATATATATATATATATATATATATATACATATATATACTTTATTTTGGAATAAAAGATAAGAGAAAAGCATTGAAAGCGATAATATTTTAGTTTCTTCTGTTTACATATTCAAGTTAAGTGTTCAAAATCAATGTATTACCCAGATAGCAAGGATACCCAAGTAATACCCAGATAGCAAGGATATACTGGTCCAATAATAGCTAATCTATGTCAGCAAAATCTTTACTGGACTGGATACCGTTCTTTGATTACCAGTTTTGGAAAGCCGTAACAGATTCATTGCAGAGCCTTTATAAAAATGAGATGGGTAGCCACAAAAAAACCCATTAATGCTCCAACAAAAATTTGCCGGAGCAGAACATTAGGCATCGGGCTAATACTGGCCAATCAGTGTTTAATTTAATTTAAATTTGATATAAACTGCAACTATAACATTTGCGCTTACAGCGCGAATTTTCACATTCATCTTGAAAGTAGTTTTTTTATTTGCTTTTCATTCAAAAATTTATTCTAAGAACTTTATTATTAAAAAGACGATTTTAGGTATCACTTTCGTAATATTATTTGGATAAATTTTAAAAGGTTATAATTTAATAAAGAAAATTTATGTTTTTATATTATTTTTTTAATAAATTATTGCAAGTTAGTTCTTTTGTTAATTAAGAGTTTGTGATGGATGTATTGTTAGACTAAAAACAAGATTAAAAAACGAAGAAAACTACTGGGAAAAGAAAACTTCAATAAAATGTTAGAGATGTTGTAAATGAAAATGCAAAGGTTTTATATTGTGAGATGCTCCATTGCCTATAAAAATAAACTGAAACTAATTCTTTTTATTTTTTAATTTGCTCTGAAAGCATGATTGCATGCATTTTTTTTTAATTTTTTTTGTGAAAGAATATTATTTTATCTATGAGGCAGCAGTTCAACACAAGTACAAGATTTTAATTACTACAAAAACGTATTACTACAAAAAAATAAAAATAATAAATATTTAATATGCGTATAATAAAATGTTTAACTATTATTATCTCAGAGTGTTATATAATATATAAAAATTATATAATATTATAAATATTAAAACATAAATTAAATATAAAGCATAAATTAAATATAAAGCATAAATTTTATCTCAAATGTAGTATGAAATATAAATAAAATGGTAACAATCATTATGTTATGTCCAGAGATGCAGGTCTCGATACTCATATTCATTTGTCTTGGTCTTCGTCTTAAAAACCTGAAATACTGGACTTGGTCTCGGAAATTTATTGTCCATTACTTTCTTGATCCTTAAGAAAATTATGAACACAATGGATTGACTAATAGTGAAAACAATAACTTTTTAATGACCGTAACTTTCCACTTTTATGAAAACTTGTATCTAGAAAGATGTGTACTCGATTTCTTTACGCAAACCAGTCTTTGTTAGATTTAAATGTCTATTTTAAATGTTTGCCACCAAATTAAATTGGCTAAAAAAACTTAAAATTTAAATGATAAAAACAAAGGAAATTAAGAAATAGGAATAGCATAATAAAAATTATTTACACTTGTAACAATATATATTTTTATAAGTAAAGTATAAAGAATGATAAATTTAAAGGTTGATAAAGATGATGATAAAAGTTTATATAAACATATACCAATATAGATTTGATAGAAAAGGGGACATATAAAATATATTTATATTACTGTGTAGAGTATTTAAACAATTTTTCACTATTTTATTATCTTTTTGTTGTTTTAATAGTAAAGAAATTTGAGTTTGATTAACACATTTATCTTTAAAAATAGAAATAATATCAGGATGACATCAATTTTTTAAATATAGCATAACTATGTTGTTATGTTATTCAAAATTGTTGAGGTCAAAAATTAAAATATTAGCTTGTCTTGGTTGCAGGCTATACTAAAACTATTCTTCTAAATTCTTTCACGACTGTCGATATTAGGAGCGCTCTTTATACCGGCAATCATGAAAGAGTTTTTATGTTTAACTAATAATCTGATTAGATTTAAATTTTCTAGCATTTAATTTTTGTATTTTATCTTTTATTTATGTAATTTTTTTATACTTGAAGGGATACCTTACTACTAACATATGAGGCGTAAAATAGGAAAAGATATTGAGTCTATATATCTAGACTTGGACAAATAATGTTTTTAGCAAATAGGTTGAAAAGTTCATAGTTGACTTTCTTGTTTTTTTTTATAGCCTTTTAATCATTGTTTAATAATTTTTTTTTAAACATATTTGCTTATTTATTTACTTTTAAATACAAAAATTAATATAAATAAACAAAGAAAGCTATGACAGACATTATTAGTGTTTAGTGTAACAACCGTAGATGTTATCAACTGTAGATGTCATCAACCGAAGATGTCATCTAACGTAGATGCCACCAACCCTAAATGTCATACTTTAACAGTTTTTCGTAATTTTGTATATATTTATCATATAGTCGCCTTAACAACTTTTTGTTATAAATGATTCTATTTGCCCACTATATTCATTTTCCCACTATATTTATGGAAAGGTTTTGTTGAACATTTGATTATTTTGGATTTTTGTCTATCTATTATTGTTAACTTTTGTAATAGAATTTGCTATAAGTTTTTGAGCATTGTACGAATTTATTACATGTTAAGTTGTAATTATTACATAAGTTATTAATAAATCTATATAGTCGTATTGTATCACCACTTGATCTTTCAATATTTTCAATGTGGAAAGAAGATTTACATAATATGTAAACTCAATGATAAGTCTTTCTCTCGATATTGAAAAAAAAAATTATACTACAATGAACCTTTTAAATTATGAACGCAAATTGCTTTATGTTAAACTTGTTCAATCATAATACATCCTTTTATTCATGTGAATTCTTCAATGGGATTGCATACTTAAAATGAGGTAAAACTACCTCAGAGGTATAACTAATCATGTTAGTAGTAATTTTAACTCTCTTTCGTCTTAATATCTTGAAAAAACGTTTGATTTTGCAAAACTTTTAAAGTCATTTTTTATCTACATTTTTTTTTTAAAAGATTATATTAACTATTTAGATTTTCGTTTTATTGTGTAGCTTATTCCTAATTTTCTGTAAATGTGTTAAAAACTCCATTTTTATAAGTTTGATACCTTTTTTTCATTTTGTACCTCAAAAATGATTTTGTATCAAAAAAAAAAAGAAAAACATTATTTAATTTTTTATATTCAACAGTATTGATAAATTGTTTTAGAATTTGTTTGTGTGATTAATTTGCCATAAAAGAAAGTACACATAAATGTAGCAAATATTAATGAAGTTGTTACAATAAACATAATATTACCACAAAAATATGTCAAATATCTAATTAAATGATTCATCTAAATCTGTTAAGCCTATAAATAATCCAAAAGGTTTATATTATATCTCTGTTTTTAGAATACAAATATAGAAGTTCCTTTATTTTTAACTTAACTAATGACTAGATTTATTGAGTTTTATAAAATTTAGTTGTCACAAATAGTAATAAATGTAATTGCAACATGTCAACCATGTTGCATATATGTTGTGACCATGTTTTTTAAGTTTTTATGTTGTGCATATGTTATTTTTATTTTATAAAACTTAAAATGGGTGCAAGTACTAAAAAAGAAAAGCAAACAAATTGAAGCAGAAAATTTATCACGAATCATGGCGGCCATTGAACATGAATCACAGAAAAGCATCGTTTTCCAGTTGTTTTGAATTAAATTATTGTATTTAATTACAATAATTTAATTAAGTTGTTTTGAATTAAATTATTGTATATTTTTGAAATAAAAAATTTGTTTTTCATCGTTAATCATAACCATTTAATGTCAAACACAATAATCATGTGCTTAACACATTTTATTTCATAAAACTCACAAAAATTGCGCCAATTTTTAATCAAAAAATTACCGCCAAATCTGCTAAAAAAATTAAAATAATAAGAAATTGATGTCTAAAAAAATAACAAGGGCTTCTAAATAAAATTGCCCAATGAAAACCCATAACAATCCCATGCGCAACCTAGTTACCCAGAGTGCACAGGACGTAACAAAGACGTCTTTCATACGTCTTTTGAACATTTCTGGATGTCTTTTAAATGTTCAAAAGACGTCTTTTATAGGTACAATGCCCACTGGGTAGATACCATAGACAAAATCACAATGTAGTGGTTTAGTAATGATTAATTGTTTTCCATTCAGTCTTTGCCTCACTTGCAAAACAGTGATGGCAAAAAGATTTATAATGCTTCAACACATACAGCAAAAAAAATAGAGATCGTCCATAAGCAACGTCATGTTAAACTTAATTTTTGAATAAAAGTAGAAGATCATTTGCTCTCTTACACTAAAATTTTGATTGAATTTAAGGCAACACTTTGAAATCCTCTGCAAGAGAATAAAATATTTTTTGTTAAATAGTTTCTAATCACTTTCAGTTTAAAGTTTTTATATTTTTGTTTATAGTGTTACTCAGTATTTTTTACTACTTTCGCATAGCAACAATATTGATAACTATTTTATTACAGCTAAACATTTAACAGGTAATTTTTAGCTACAATTATGTATGATAATGGCATTTTAAACTATAATAAATTAATATTAAAATAGGCATAACATAAAATTTTAATTTTATTACTAAAATGTTCCAAATTAAATTCATCTTTCTGGGGGCCGCTTAGGGCATCAAATGAATGATCTAACACTGTTCTTAAATATGTAAGAAAGCCTACATACTTAGTTTAGGGACGTAATTAAGCTACGCATTGATTATAATTTCGTTTTTACTTTACCAAATTTTGCATATCAATAACTTATTTTTACATTTAACTTATTTTTACAGTTTTTTATTCGCGCTATGTACACTGATATATCTAGCGTGTGTATTAGATGCACGCTTTTTATTAAATTTCTACTTTTATTTGGTTACTATAGACATCTAATTTTTTTGAATTATTTTTGCATAACAACAGCATTGATGTAATCCTATAGTTTTGGCGGCCAAAAATAGTTTATAATATTTTTTTGTTATTATTGCTATTTGCGTTCTCGTCAGTGGATATTTTTTAGACATAAATAAATACTTTCTGGCTTCAGTTGCATGAATAAGGAGCTTCTTATCAGTAAAACAAACTACTGTTTTATTCAATGCTTTTATACTGTCAAATTTTTCCTATTGTCCTATGATTTGGATTTTTTGTTCGAAGTATAATATAACCTAATTAATAAAATTCTGAAAAAAAGCTTCGCATTGTCTATAAAAGATTTGATCTCCCATTAGAAGAAATTCAAAAAATAGAAAGCATCCCAAGTATTCACCTTAGAAATTTAAGGTGATTTGTTAACTGAAGTTTTTAAATCTATAAATGATTTAAATCTAGATTTTATGTTAGATCTTTTTATCAAAAAAATCCCTGTCATTAAGTCTTCGATGTAGTAAAAAATTAGCACTCCCACCCCCCAGTGGGTACGGACGTAAAAATGACGTCTTTTAAACGTGTTATACACGTTTTGGACGTCTTCTGAACGTCTTCTGAACGTCTTTTGAACGTTTTGGACGTCTTTTGAACGTTCAAAAGACGTCTTATTTTGGTCCAGTGCCCACTGGGCCATAGTCTCTAAACATAAGTTTATAAAAAGTAACTTATATAGAGCAACCTCGCTGTGGAACTCCCTAGACAATGAAACTATGTCTTAAAGTACTATGTACTTTAACTTCATTAAATGTCACCAAAAAGCCGGTAAAAGTCTTGCAACAGTGATCACTGAAAAATTCGAGAAAGACGGTTTAAAGATTTCTGATTGCCGCGGCCTAATTGACATTTTGCAGCTCATTTATAAATATTTGTTGACAGCAACCTCGCTGTGGAACTCCCTAGACAATGAAACTATGTCAATAAATTGTCTAAAGGTGTTCAAAAAAAATTTTTTTTAATGGAACGGAAAATCTTGTTTTTGTAAAATCTGTCAAAAATAACTTTTTTTTATTTTTTATTTTTTACGTCAAAAATAACCAACTTGTTGTATTTATTGACATTTATATTATTTACTATGTAACCTATTTTTATTTTATTTATTTTTTTATGTATGTTTGTTTGTATTGTCTTTTACAGTTTAGTGTGTTGATTTTAATTAGTTTTTGTTGATTATAAAACTATTGTAAACAATCAACTGAAAATAAAGTTTTAAATAAATAAATAAATAGTACATAGGCCTACATCGACTTTCTTATAGCCTGCTTTCTCAAAAGAGTGCGACTACACCAACTGAGGGTTTGGCATGGGATAGCAATTTTTTTAACATTGTCATTTCAAAAATGAAAAAAAGTAGTTGACATTACATCTTTATGTTACAAAACACACAGTAAGCTTTAATGCATGTTATAACATGCATTAAAGCTTACTGTGTGTTTTGTAACATAAAGATATTATTAATAATATACCAAGTAAGTAAATAAAATTATGTTTATAATTGATTTAATGAAAATAAACTTACTTTGATTAGCTTGGTTGTCTGAAAAATAAATAAAAAAGTTTTGCCAATTAGTTTTATAATGTTTTTAAAAAAATCAGCAATAAAAAAGCAGCAATAAAAAATAAACATTATTTATAAATTATGAAACGGTACATACAGGCCCGTACCAAGGGCGAGGCCAGCCGGGCCGCGGCCCGAGGCGCCAGACTTGGAAGGGCGCAAAGTTCTCGAAAAATAAATTAAAAGTAAATTAAATTAAAAAAGTGAATAAAAAAAAAAGTTAATATCGTTTTGAAACAAATATTTGTGGCATCTTTTTGAAGTTGATAAAAAAATTAATTAAAATTGCGCCTCTTTACATAAACTCCAACAAATAAAAGCTCATTTACTGAGCAGATTTGTTCAGTAAAATGTTTTTTAATTATTGAAGTTTATGTAAGTTTATTTATTATAAGTTGGAGTTTATGTTAGTTTATGTTTTTCAAGTTGAAATTTATGTTAAAGGGCGCTCTTCTCCAGCAGAAGAGCGCCCTTTAACTCTAAAATAGTTAATATATATATATTTTTAAAAATATCTTCTTTTTATTAGTACATTCAAATTAATTTTATACTAGACTATATGGACACTGTCCATATTTTCTATAGTCGATTTTGTAAAATGATTTAAAGTTATTACTTATGATGGAACAGTTAATTGAAAAGTCCCATCCTAAGAAATAACTTTAAATCTTTTTACAAAATCTTTAAAAAGAAAAAAAAGAAAAACCACATTTCATTAAAATCATTTTTTAGATTGCAAATAACGCATTATTAGTTTTCAAAACTAAGTTAAAATATGTATGTTTATCAATTATATTGAACATTAAGTTTTTATAATGAATCGCTCTAAAAAATTATCTGGCGCTCAATTTAAAAAGAAAAAAAAACAGCGCCTAGAAACTACAAAATTGTTTCAAGAAGTGGTTGGTAACTTACTCTGCAAAGAAAAAACAAATTATTTCAGAGGATATTAATCTTTATGTTAATGAAAGTTCAACAGATAAAGTTTTTCAAACAGCTAAAATTAATGACTTAAGTATAGATAATAATTCGGAACTAATTGAAGAGGAGATTTTTATTAGCCAAATCAAGAAGAATTTTGCACAAATAATTCAGAAACAACAAGAGGATATGGATATTCTCGGCTTTCTAACCGGGCTGAACTGGATCACAACGAACTTCATTCAGAAGTATCAGATGTTCCGCTAACCTTAGGAAAAAACATGGCCTAACTAACGGACAACATAAGATGCTTTTTGATTCAAGAAAGAAGACCGTTTTTTCCATACACGTTGAGTGATTTTGACAACAGAAAGCAACACATCAGCACAAAATGGTATAAAAAAATTCATCCCAATGGTGAAAAATTTGTTTGCCATTGGTTGCTGTACAGCAACAAAAAAGATTCATTGTTTTGTTTTTGCAGTTTTTTATTTTCAACAGCAAAAACCAACAATTTCTCAGAAATTTCAAAACGATTTTGTGAATGGAAAAAACTTATCCCAAAAGTTCTTGAACATGAAAACAGCAATGATGCTATTCTGGTTGTGAAACTCTCGAAAAAAACCTTGAAGAAGGAAAGACTATGGATTCTGATCTGCAGAGAGTTATCAATGGAGAAATGAAAAAGTGGAGAGGCATCTTGAAAGTGATTGTTGATGTAACTTTGTTCTGTGCCAGGAACAATCTTGCCCTTCGGGGCACAACAGAAGTTAATAAGCAATTATTATCCTTTAGTGCCTGAATACATTGCATCTGTTAAAGCATAGAAAACTAAAACGTCTTACTTTTCTCCTCGAATACAAAATGAGTTGATTGAGTTACTTGGGAGAAAGTCAGAAACGAAATATTGTCTAACATCAAATACTACTAAATACTACTCTGTTTTGCTTGACTGCACTCCAGATTCCTCCCATAAAGAGCAGATGACCCAAATAATTAGGTATTTCCACATTGATGATGAAACCTGTACAATTGAGAAAAGCTTTGTTGACTTCATTAAATGTCACCAAAAAGCCGGAAAAAGTCTTGCAACAGTGATCACTGAAAAATTCGAGAAAGACGGTTTAAAGATTTCTGATTGCCGCGGCCTAATTGACATTTTGCAGCTCATTTATAAATATTTGTTGACTGATGCTTATCCTAACACGGCAATTGCTATTTGCGTCTTCCTTACCATACCAGTCACAGTTGTTACGTGTGAAAGAAGTTTCAGTAAATTTAAGCTTATAAAAAACTACATGAGATCAACTATGGGCCTAGTCTGGCTTTAGTTTCAATCGAACATAAAGTAGTCGACAACCTTGATTTTGATGACATCATTAGTGAATTTGCATCCAAAAAAGCTAGAAAAGTGAACTTGAACTGAAGTTTGTGTAGTATTCAATTACAAATTGTAATTTACACTTTATATGATTAATTTTATGATCAATAAATTGTTTTTTAATTTTAATTTTTTTTGGAGCAAGTGGGCGAGTGAGGGAGGGGGGAGGAGAGGGGCGCAATTTTTCTTTCTTGCCCGATGCGCAAAGTTGGCTCGGTACGGCCCAGGGTACATGGTTATTTTGTTTTTACATTTAAAAATAAAGCAATTAATATTTAAAATATTAATCTCGTATATATTAAAAACTTATATTTCAATTATTTGAGGCTCGGTATGAGTAAACCCAGTTTCAATCTATAAAGTTTTAGAATATTTTTTAGCAGCTACGTTGTTTCTTTTTTATTATTAGTTTTTTTAATGTCTATTTTTTTGGGTAGTTATTTTATATAAAGTTATGTAAAACTTTTGTAAAGACGAGTTGAATTCATCAATGTAATGGATCAGCGGTTGTTGCTATTGAGATTAATGGTATCCAAGTACAAAGTCAAGTTATTTTTGTGAACCGTTTAGAGTTGATAGGAAGTTTGGATTAAGTTTCGTTAAGTCGCTAGAAGAAGTTTTTACTCCCCATCTGGAATGGCAAAGTTCGGGTCCATCCTAATAAAAATTGACATTAAAAACAAGATCATGACGCAATATTTAATTGTATCAAATCAAAAGATAAATGGAAATGGAGAGATGGAGAAGACTCTAAACAATGATCTAGCATTATTGTTCAATGCATCATATCAAAACATGCAAAAGCGGAATACAAAAATGAACTACAAGGTTGGATCATTTGCAAATGATTAACTTGTTGTGACAAAAATAAGATAGGACAATCCAAGGGCAAATTTCTGTAATGGCTGTTATCCAAGATTATAAAATCAGACCCATTTTTAGGCTGGAGAGAAGGTAACAGTTTTATTGAGATGCATTCAAGATAGCAACTATGTGTGTTGAGAAGCTGAGAGAATGAAGAAGAATGGAAAACAAACCAGCATTTATTGATTTAACATAATGTTAGCATAAAACTTATTCCTTCGGAAAATAATTTACACTTTGACAAAAGATCAAAGCAGATGGGTGAATAATAACAGATGCTGAGCATTTGAACAATTATGACGGAGTAGTAGTTGCAGAGACTGAATCAATTTTTAACATACACTAAAGAGCCAGATAGTATAGAGTAAATTGAATGTTTGTAAAGTAATTTCGACTGCTGCCAAAAACGACGTTCAAGCTGTAACTAAAAATTGCGAACCGAGTTAAGCGTTAAAGAAAATTGAGAGCGGATTTTGGCACAGAAAAATCTTTTACTCTTATTGATTGCGGACCATCAAGTTACGCACTTTGATTTCTGGCTTTCAAAAACTGCTTCAACTCTTTCTCGATACTGTTTGTGCAACGCTCAATACATGCTTGATACCTATCAAAACCTGAAGCTGGTGTAGTTAAGAAAGATGGTAATCGGTGTGTAGTTAAAGTAGGTGCTGCGGCAGCGGCTGTTAAAGATGATGAAGTTGTGTCTGATCAAGATGGTGTAAGTGCATCGGAGGCTGCTAATATTGATGGAGGTGGGGTCGCATGAAAAAATCTCCCGGGAAAAAATCCCCCCGGAAAAAATCCCCCCGAGAAAAAATCCCCCCGAGAAAAAAATCCCCCTAAGAAAAAATCCCCTCGCCACGGAAAAAATCCCCCTGAGAAAAAATCCCCCCGGAAAATATCCCCCAAAATTTTTTTTTTTTTTAAAGTTCAAAATTTTCAATAAAATAGTTATATTTCAATAAAATAGTTATATAAATCTGTTTCATCACAATTTTAAATATGCGACCCAGAAATTAAACCAGTCTTTTAATATTGCTTGGCGACGCATTCAAAACAACGATCAATTATTTCTGGCGTACAAGAAGAGGCTCTTTGGAATGGTAAGTTATGCGCTGTTCTTGTTGAAAATTTATTTTGACCATCTCTTCATAAAGGCATAAAACCAGTCTCTACCAGGCTTGCCATTTTTGAATAAGTGAAATTGATCTTCGCGTTTTAGGTAGCCACATACATATTCTAAGGTTTCATTTCGGTTAAACCATAACCCCAGTCACCAAATAATTGGAATACGTGCACTATCAATATTTCTGTTTCATTTGAGAGTACCGTTGTTGTACCTGAGCCATAGAAACCTTTGTTATTGTTATTTTTGCAATCTTTGAGCGTTAAGACTGGAACGCCATGTTTGAATGCAGCTTTTCTCTATGATGCTTTATTTTCTTTCATACCAGCTAATATCGTCTTCCTTGCATGCTTTTGCTTTTTTAGTTGACATATTTAAGTACTTAAATATGTCAACTAAAAAAGCAAAAGCATGCAAGGAAGACGATATACTAGCCGCATTAGCTGGTATGAAAGAAAATAAAGTCTTTTAAATTCAATTTAAATCACTCACTTAAGTGAGTGATTTAAATTGAATTGAGTGAGTAATGATTATGTTGAGAAATAATATAATAATTGGTTTTTAATGAGTAAGAGATGATTATACTAACAAATAAATTATAGTTTATTCTTAATTAAACCAGAATTAACACTAAGTTAATTAGATAAAAATAGGCGCTTAGTCATTTGCGAAAAACTAAACTAAGTAATTAATCGAGTGTGCGGTTTTATCAGAAAAAATATAAAAAAAAATTTTTTTTTTACTTTTTTGATTTTTTATTTAACTTTTTGTTCTAGCTGCATAAAAATAATACTATCAGAATTTAAACTAAATTTCCAACATGATAGTACTAAAACTACTTTTATATCAGCTATTTTGTTCGCAAGGCCTTGCGAACAAAATTTTTTATATATTTTTTATCCTTAAGGATAAAAAATATATAAAAAATTTTGACTCCCAGTTAAAGTTGTATATAAAAAGAAAAAAATGGAGTTGAATCGGCATATAATTTTATCAATTTAAATAGAGGAGATACTTCTGTATTTGATTCTATTTTTTTTTTTTTTTAGTTATATCCGTTTAGTTTTTATTTGATAACTTTAATCAGTGTGCGTGATGATATGGTGTGTGGTTTGACTCGGTTTTACTCTATAACTTATATTAAGACACATTCACAAATTTTGGTAAACACCTTTATCTAAAAATAACTGTTTTTACATCATTATGTTACAAAACGCAACACAGTAACTTTAATGCTAAAAAATACCAAGTTAGTAAATAAGATTATTATTATAATTGATTTAATAAAAATTAAAAAATAAAAACTTACTTGGAGTAGCTTGGCTGTTGTCTAAAAAATAAAAATAAAAAATTTAGCCAATTAGTTTTAAAATGTTATTAAAAAAATTAGCAATAAAAATTTATTTATAAATTATGAAAAAGTACATGGCTATATTTTTTACATTTAAATATAAATCAAAAAATATTAAAAAAAAATTAAGTTTATTAACCTAACCTCTTCTAATTGAAATATAAATTTTTCATATATGTGAAAAATTTATATTTCAATTAGAAGAGGTTAGGCAGGATGTCACTTAAAGTTTAAATAATAATATGAAGTAGGAGAATGTTGGCTCTTGTGCGCAGAGACTTTAAGGGTAGTATAGCGCTTTATGTTTAATGAAAATCTCCGCGATAGGGAGCAAATAAACTTTTACTTCTGGTTACTAATTAAATTCTGAATGACGGCCTTTATGGACGACCCCAGAGGCGGATTTTTTTATTGTTGATTTTTGAGAGTAGCTATTTTAAATAAATTTGTGTAAAACTTTTTTAAAGATAAGTTGAAATCAGGAAAAAAAACATAAATCATTTGGAACAAAAAGAAGTTTTGTTTAAAGCTAGGAAAAACAACAAGCTAACCGGGCATGGATTCAAGTATGTAATTATTGGATATGTTTCAAATGTATGATGGAACTGTGGAGGCTGCCATTAAAATACAACGAACGAAAGTAATTGTTAAAATGCAAGATGTAAAAAAGAAACTCGTTTCATTAAAAAAAAAACTCATTCAAATCCTTGGAAAAACTGCTCAATTAGTTTGCTAAAATGCAAATAAGCGCTTCAGAAAAGCAAGATGAAGAAATAAGCGCTTCAGATAAGCGCTTATCTGAAGCGCTTATTTCTTCAGCTTAAGATGAAGAAATAGTCGAGCGAGTTATGTTAGCAGCGTTCTCCGTGGATGCTTATAGGCATATGCCTATGGCATAAAAACTTTTTGTCACACAAAATTTAAATGCTGGAAAGAAAGTTGATATGCTAATAGCTAAAACGATTAGCTTACCTAGCTAAGTTGTCTTAAGCATCTGTTCAATTGGCGTTTGTCGTTGGATTGCCTGAGGATTTATCATCAAGATTTCAAGCTGGATCCAATTTAAGATTCTATTTGAACACGGGATGTTCAAAGACAATCATAAATCAAAATTTGTTGTCAAGAAACCAAAATAAACTCCATGATCCTCCAAGGATGATAACATTTGGGTGTAAAAGTTCATCAATGTAATTGATTATTGACTCTTATTTCATTTCAATTCAATTAATGGTAACCAAGTATAAAAAAATTTATTTTTGTGGATTTGGAGTTAAAAGAGATGTCTGATGTTCACATAAATACGACGAAGCTAGGTGCTGTAATGCGAGGAATGAATATTTGACGTGAGAACTAAAGAAAGTAACTATTTTAACAGATTCCGGGATAGTGCTTCATTGAGTCTCAGACACTCTTAATGATAAATCAAAATTGAAATCAAAAGTGACGAGTGAAATTTTGACTCGAAGAAGAACAAACGTTCTCCAAAAAATTATTGAAGAATACGGACTTAATGTTAATGCAAAATTTGTTTCTTCAAAAGATAGTTTAGACGTATAGACAGGAGCTCAAAGAAAATGGTTGAATAAGTTGACAGAGACTAATCATTTTAACAATTCCTTTAGAATAGTAGTTGCAGGGTCTGATTCCATTTCTAACATGCAAAAGAGAACTGACACTTTAAGGTAATTCGAACTTTAAACTTTGTTTGTAAAGTAATTCCATTCGCTACCGAAAACGATGTTCAGGCTGAAAGTAAAATTTTCGATTCATGTCAGTAAAATTTTCGATTCATGTGTAGGATGAAATTCATGTCATCCAACACATGAATCACATTTTGACAAATTTGACGAAACAACTTTTAAAACTGAGGAGGCATTAAGTTTTCTTATTGGTTTGGGAGTGCGCATCAGTCTTCGAGATGCTTATTATCCCGAAGTAAATGGAATTGTGGAAAGAAACCATCGTGCAATTAGGAAAATTGCAGAAAGATCAATACCGAAAGCAGTATCTTGGTGCAATATTTCAGTAAACAAAAAAAGTGTAAGCCCGATAGAGAAAATGCAAAGTTATCAAAGAATTTAGAAATAACCTTCTGGCAAAAAGTGACATAAACTAAATGTTTAAAAACGGCAATAATGTATGTCGAAACTACCAAATATGATGTGCTATAACGTTAAAGCAAGCCAGTAAGCTTTAATCATGTTAAAAAGAAACCAAGTAGGTGAGGGCAAGGCTAATTGCAACAGGTTTAAGTTGCAACAATCCTTTTTAAATTTTAAAGAATGGTTTTTATATATTTTTCCTAAATTATATTACATTATATAACTACAACTATAACACGTTATTTATAATTATGTTTTTTTTATATATAAATATAATAATAAATTTTAACTTTTTTTTCCAATGTTTTTTGGGTTTCACTGTAAACTTAGAGATAAATGACCATAATAAAGTAATGGAAAGTTAAAATATTATTTTTCAAGCGCAAAAGAATTTAAAAAACAAAATTGATTGGTTATTGTGGTTTATCATCCATCCTAACATCCTGACGTTTCTTTACACTTATTAAAAATAATTGATTTATGTAAATAAAATATGTAAATAAAACGTAAATAATTATATAAATTGATTAGAGTGATAATGATGCTTACGAAGTAATATGTAATAAAGTGCTTGCGGTAAATTAAATCATAAAGTAAGAGCGGGTTTTAATGAATATACGCACTCTTCTAGTTATTTCTAAAACAATCGACGTTTTTTCAACCAAGAAATTAGTTCTAGAAAGCAAAAATCGGCTATTATTTTTACATCAATAGAAAAAAAATTCAAGAAATCTAGTTGTTGAATTGAAATGTATATAATTTTTAAGTTTCTTTTGTTTGTTTTTAATGAAAGTTTATTATTGGAAAGCTCTTTTTTTTTCGTTGTTATCTAAGTTTGATTTTTGTTTTTTCATTTAAAATTTAATTTAACATTTGCTTTACTTTTTACTTTTTTTTTTTCAAATTTAATGTTATTGTGTTTTTATGTTCTAAAAACAGAACTTAAATATCCTAAAAAATTTTTTTAAACAAATTTATTTTTATTGACTAAGAGTAGGGTGAGCCGGGGTGAAATCGGCACTTATGCGACTGAGCTTTAATATAGTAATAAAAAACTAAAAAGTCTAATTACTAGATTTTTTCGAAACTTTTTCAGCTAATGTTTGTAGAATATTATTAAATATTATTTTCATTAGATTATTCTTTAAATATTGAAAGTAAACACTGAAGTTAAAAAAATATTTTTGTACTTAACTGCCAATCGTGGAAAATAATCAAATACACAATGTTTTGACCACAAAGTATGTTTTTTTCGATAGATCAATAATCAAGACATGTTTATTAACTTTTTACATCATTTTAATGAATTTCTTACAAAAGTAGATTGGAAAAATGTATTGTTATTTTAAAATAATTAATTTTTAAAGCAATTGAATTAGCAAGAAAAGATGGATATTGAAATAATATGCATTCCATCTCATAGTATACATCGCCTTTAACTACTTGACACACATATTAATAAAGTAGCTAAATATATGTGGTCCTTAGCCTTGTCTAATTGCTTAGCTGAAAATGATGATATTTCTATGCCTGTTTGAAACTTTCACATAATTTTTAACAAAATATGGCCCAAAATTACAAAACACTTTTTAACAAAATATGGCCTAATATTTTTTAACAAAATATGGCCCACCACTTTAAAAAAGAGGATTCAAAAAAAAAAAAGATTGTAAATATGTTTTATTATTGCAGTTTGCATCCCCTAAGAAATACAGTGAATGAGTTCAAATACAATAAAAAAGTGTTTAATAAAACAAAAATTCACCAGGGTGATCCAAATTTATCTATTTTAAGGGCTAGTGTACCTTCTTCGGAAAAAAAAAAGAAGCGAACCTATTCACTCAAAACGCCATATTGCTCTTATTACAACACCAGATATGTTAAGTTTATAAAGAAGCCTCCAGCTAAAAAAGCTTCAATAAAAAATGTGGTCAGTATTAAACAGAAGTCTCAAAAATAAGATAAAATCAATTTTTTGATTTTATCTTATTTTTTAGATGAAAAATTAATTGGCGGTCCATCCAAGCCCAAAGATTTGCAATCGGATTCAAATCCATCAGTCCGTGAATTTTTCGGAAGACGCAAATGAGCTTTTCAGCAAGATGGGGCTCCTGCACACACTGCCAAGTCGATAAAAACCTGGTTTTCAGAGTCATACTTCTGCCATTTCTTTCTTTTGTCCCTTGCAATTTGTAAATGTTTTATCCTGTCATTTACTAAGCATATTGATGTTTATTACCAAAGCAGCCTTTGTTTAAACTTTGTTTGAGGCAAGCTTTGTTTACGAATAATCATAAGTTGCACCCCCTTTCCTAAAGGGGATTAGACATCTTTCAATGTCTATTAATTTAGCCTAAAAGTTACAGAAAATTGTAAAACTGTATATAAAAAGACTTGATTGAATGTTTACAAATTTTTAAATTTTTTTTCTTGATATAACGACGTTATTGATTAATGAACGGCAAAAAATAAAGAAACATTTTTGCTGAATTTAAAAATATAGTTTGAAATAAAAATAACGAATTAATGATTTTAAGGTCATAAACTTCGCTGCAATGTTTAAATGTGTGCTTTTAAAACTTGAGTCTCATTTGCCACAACCCCGTTAGGGCACTTTTGACTTTATAAGTCAATAAATTTAAAAATTATGCTATACTTTGAAATGGTTTAAATGTTTACCGTATTTTTCAACCAATGATGCCAAGTGAGCAATTAGTGTGTGTGTGTGTGTGTGTGTGTGTGTTTTATAAGTATAAAACCGAGCAAATTAGTTTATTATTATTTTACTGAGCATTCATATCAAATGTGTTTTCTTTATCATTTTTTGATAAATCATAATAATCTTACACAGCTGGGACATAACATAAATGCAAAAGC